TGTCAAATCGGCTCACACAGCCCAACAAAGCGACTGCATTAATTTTAAAGACATTAAAAACCATTACTTTATAGAGTGCATACCATATATCCGTGAAAAACTTTGTAAGAAATTGCATATATTTTCACAATTTAGTAAGCTCTGTAGACCGTGTAGACCTACAAAACGTTGCCCTAATTTGTACTATTTTGTTAGTTAACTTTTTCACGGATATGTGGTATGCACTCTAACACACTGCATTATGACAACCTAACCCCAGATACGGCAAACATTTCAGGATCGGTATCTGTTTGGATTTGGACATGACCATAGGCACGTAGTATAAATCTATGCATTCATGTACACTAGTCAAAGGTTGTAGGTGCCATATCGAGTTTTWAAAAAAAATAGTGTAACCATGGGACGAATAATATCAAACGCAGAAGTAGTTTGGGGGGAAAAACTGTATGATTGTAGCGTCTACCAGACAGGATCACGAAAGACAACCTATTGTTTCCAACTTTGAATGCATTGCTAAGTTTTTATTATTAAAGCAAGGAGTACTACTCGTTTTGATATCCTTACTTTCAAAGAGACCTAGAGTTAATTCTAATGTTGAACTAGTGTCCATTAAATATCAAGTTTATATATAATAGAACACTTGATGATACGAATGTCATGGTGTTAGACTAATTGCAGTAGACGATGGGTCAGGGTTCATCAATGACTTTCCATTCTAGTTTCTATTGTGTTGTATTATCAGTGATGTATATATACAAGAACATCAATACACTGAAATATTTTGTAAGAAAGACACTGAGAATATTTGTGTAAAAAATCAACACTGGAATTTAATCTTAATTAATGAATAAGAATACTAATGAAAATCTTGACGAAGATACAGCTAAAGATGGTCTTGTGGATAATAAAGACAATTTGTGTATTTACGCAAACCATAACGAGAGATTATTTCACAGTAAAGCAAGGTCTTTCAATAGTAATAATAGGTGTCTTACCACGGGGTTGGCTCCATTTTGTAGTAGATACCTTATGATGTTTTCTCTCTTGGCTTCTGCTGCTAAATGTAAAGCATTTCGCCCGGCATCGACGGTCATGTTTACTTCTGAGCCCTTTTATATGAAAAAATTGATTTAAAATCAAATCAAATCAAATATTACCATTATTGGTACTTTGAAATTGACGTCTAATTTAATCAGGTAAAGGCCAAAAATCAATATTGGAGCAATTCTGTCTGTCCAACATTTTCAACAACCAAACAGATCCGTTCGTAAAAATAAAATCAAAAACCCTCGAAATTTATCAAAGGTTCTACAAGAAAAAGTATAGTAGCATAGGAAATTTTTGGTACGAATTATAGTCAAAAACTAATGATGATCGCTGACACAACTCATTTTTTAAATCACATACGCGTTTTGGATAAGACATTTTTAAAAACAGCGAATCAACAGGAGACCTAATTAAAAGAACACCTATTAGGAAACTAAATAAGATGTGAAATACACTGAGTAAAATGGCTATTAAATCCCAACAAGATCTGTTACTCAGTTTTTACAATACAACTCCTTAGTGTACAACTTGGTATCGTGACCAAAAACTTTGGAAAAAGCTATGTAGCCAATAACAAAAGTGTTACATTTCCCAAAATGCGTCCTAAAATACTGGCTATTACTAACTAGTTATTGGGTATTTATGTGTTAAAGACTCTCGTACCGGTTTTTTGAGGTGCTCTATGATGGTTGGAAGAAAACCACTTTTGATGGCAGAACAGAAGTTTTCATGTTCAGCGAATCTGTAGTGATGGCTACTCATCTTGCGATGTTATTGAAGCGTATCACAGAGACTTGCAAGCCGACTGATACTGAAAGACAGAGAACACAGCCTTTCTTACAAATGAATGTTGATCTACTGTGACCTTAGCTGCGCGTCGGTTCATAAGCTAAATATTTGCATAATTTAACCTATATACTTTACGCCCATAAATAACTTCGTCTGTCACTAATAATATCACATTCCGACACATTATCGATCGGTGGGAATATCTACCCACTCGAAATGGATATCATAGTGCTGAAGTGTTAAATAGTAAACAATATTAACGTTCTTTTTCGGCCAGAAAAATTGAATTGAAATAGCCTATTCCCTGCTTGAATTTGGATGCTTATGATCTCGAGTATGGACACACCCAGTCATTGTACATAGTAACTAAGAAAATGACGCGCTGTGATTTGGATAAGTGTTTTGATTTTTRTCGCTTTACTTGTTACTAGTTTGTATTTGTTATCGCCTTGCTGATATCTTTACTATACGATCACGTGATATTTGACGTCATCTATTTTAACTCTTCTAAACAAGTCACGTTCATAACTTCGACTGACCCTATAAAGAATTCTATGTTCTGAAAGGGTCCTGTAAAAGTTGAAAATGTACTATTTTAATTTGATTAATTTTTTTCTCTCATTACTCTCATGAATCAGAGCTTTAGTGTTTTGACAGTCATTTTCGCTTATAAAGTAATGCATAGCCAAATATGGTGAAACTTAAACTATCCAAGTGATTCAAATGTTGTCAGTTCTTTTACGTAACAAAAAATGTTGTTTGTTATGGCTAATCAAAATCTATCTGTCGAGTCTGATATAACAAGAATGTTCCCGAGTTAATTAAGATGGGTCATTTACTACAGGTGTATTTAAGTGCATTTCATTGTTGGGCTAGAGAAAATAACAAAAATCCATTGAATAACTAGCTAAGGAGATATTGGCCTGATCATTACACTGGTGTATTTGTAAACTGTATTTCTCTTATTGAGCTAAGGTAGGACAACAAATAGTATATTAAAATAATCAGCCATCAATTTTTAAATTTTTTTTATTCATTTAATAAACCTATATTAATCTAAGTAGTGCTTATAATACACTCAACAAAATTACACGATTCTGATTGGACAAGAGGAGTACTATTAAATCCCAAATTGTACTCTGTAGAGTCAATTAAGTTGCTCAATTTTACTGAGTATATTTTTAACCAAAAATCGCACAATCTTCTCGTACAATTCGGATTTTATAGATACTCGTGATGTTTTCAAAATTCTCAAATTGGACTCCCATAAAGGCTCGTCCAATTTTGAAAACTTTCAAAACACCACTCGTACCTATAAATTACGAATTGTACTCTAGATCGTGCGATTTCCTATACTAATTGTGGCCCAAGTTGATAGGCTATCTAGAGTAGTCATTTTGATTAACTGATGTGCATGGGTGTTTTTTATGTTATATTCGACTTCCAGTCCGAGCAAGCATGGCTGCAACTGGTGAAGGCCAAAAACGTTGTATTGTTTGTATATATACGTACAAGTACTTCAACGAAATTAATTGAAAACAAATCTTGGCAATAAAATTAGAGATTCCGAAGTTTAGGAAAAATTGGGCCGAGTTGGCATTGAAGTGCATTGTGAGACTGTTTTAGCGGACATATTTCCAAGATGGCGTTTATCTCGTTCCTTTAAACTGTCCCACAATGCACTGCGATGCCAACTCGACCCAGTTTCCTCCCTCCATCAACTTCATAATAGTTAATAGTGTGTCCTTGATGTCTGGAACAACTTCACATCTCATTCAAAAGCTTCATCCTGCCGCTCAGCTGAAATGACAAAGAAAAAAATAGAATATTAAACTACATGTAAATATCAACATCTTTTTTGAACAGAAACACCTAGAGGGTCACCTCGTATTTTTATCTAGCAAATTATCCAACAGTCCACAAAAGAGAACTCACAAAACAAGAAAAAGTTATGATTAGTAGCACCAATTCTTCCTTAGGCAATCGCCACGATAAAACAGTTAAATGGTATCTGAGCATTGCGTTTAGATGAGCAGAAACATCGGAAGTCGTCCAGTGATTGGCTAGCAAATGGATGTCGGACATCGGACGTCATGATTGGCTAGCAAATAGATGTTTTTTTTCCCGTACCGTGACGAACAGGAAGCGAGACCCATCGAGATGTGACACCTTGTCTTGTATAGCTAATTATATCCTCATTGCGCACTGACTCTTTATCAGACTAATAAGTACTAATAATATCTTTATCATCCATATTATATCAATATTATCCTTATCAACTCACTCGATCTACTGCAGTTTTGTCAGACGCTTTCTCAGCCAGTTTCAGCGCCTTGTTGTAAATGTCACGCGCCTCGTTGATTCGTCCAGTTAACGAAAGCACATTAGCATAGGATTCTAAAGAATTTAGATCTTTTGGGTCTTTCTTGAGAAGTTCTTTGAAGATCGTTGATGCACTTGAATAGTCTTTATGAGCCATGTGCGCTGAGGCTAGGTTAGACATTACAATCTAGAAGAAGGACGTAGATTTTGGTTAAAACTAATTTTAAAAAATACTCCTAGATTAATATACCATATTCAAATAGAGACTTTACTAGTTGGTCAAGTACTGTGATTCTATGGGTTTTTAGCTTATTCGTTTAAATGCGCCAGCTTTGAGCACAGGTAGCCCAGGCTTACCGTTAGTGTTGAATAACTGAATCGATCGAGAGACAGACAGACAGACAAAGATTAATTGGTATCATATGGGAAGCGTCACCTAAACCCGAACGAAATAAGCTGTAATTAAACCATGGGGCTGTTCAATATATCAACAAYACACGGTGGGAGTTTTATTTGATTTTGATTATTTTAAAGTGTAAARATGAGGATTCAAAAATACCCATATGATACCCATATAATCTTTGTCTGTCTGTCTSTCKMTCGATCGATCGATTCAGTTATTCAACACTAACGGTAAGCTTGGGCTACCTGTGCTTTGAGTTCTCTGTTGCTAAGAGTTAGCCTAGACTTTGTGCAGAATATTGACGTGTTACGTTCCAGTGAATGTCCGTTGAATTTCCAAGTGTTTGTATTGTTAAGATTTGAGCATTCTTGACCTTACCGTTTGTATTTGTGAATAATTAGACACTGATATGAGGCTAAGCCTGAGTAAGAGTCTGTAATCAAGGAACGCATCGGTAATTTGGAACTTAAAAGTGGTCTATATAGACACCTTTAGCTTCTTTGTTTGTTGTCCGATTTCAGACCATGTGATGCCACTCTTGGGAATTATTTCTTTCATGTGTAAATATTTTAAAATGTTCATCATAGAAGAACAATTCTCAGGGGAATATCACGTGGTCTGAAATATGCAATTTTCATACGAAGGTAAGAGGATCTATTTAAGTTGCAATTCATACCTTGTCATCCGGGAATTTTTCATGAGCAGCAACAAGTAACGCAATCCCTTCTTTCTTGTGATTGTGTTTAACGAAAGCCTGATAAGCATTATTATAGTGCTCCACTTCAAACTCTCCATTTTTCAGCACCTGTACCATCTCTTTGGCATTACCAGTTGTAGAGTATAGCTCTTGGATCCTACCAAGGACCATGACACTTTTTGGAAATCTAGAGATGATATGTGAGAAGCTCAACTACATTCTGAAGTCTCAATTCAATTAGACCTCTATTGTGTTTATTTTCATAAGTCTGGATTTTTTGGTTTCAATCAACCAAACGTCCAACGGTCTGAGTAAGTATGTTTTGTATAAGCTAAGGGAGGTCATATTTCAAATATAAGACGTCTTGGGATGTACAAGTGCGGAGTTTTGTAAACGGGTGTAATTATAAGAACTTACTTTTCTATAGCATAGGCTATAGTGTGTTCTCTTTTCCTTTTAGGTCTTTTATCAGCGGGTAGTTCTGAATCTAGGTAATCCAGCGCGGCAAAATCCCGATCCGTGGCAAAAGATGCCTTGACAATCCGACCAAACAGCTGACGAGCTTCTTCATTTTGACCGGAATTCAAATAGTAGTCAGCCATGACAGCGTTTAGTCTCTGGATGGATGTATCCATGCGGTCTGTAGCTTCTTTCCTCTCACCTAGTATTTGTGATTATGGAATAAGAATGAAAGAAAGACCAAGGGTTTTGGACGGGGGGAGGTGAGACGTCCACTTTTTGGGTTGTTGTTTTTTGTTTTGTTTTTGACAGGTTACCCCCAAAAGCAAAACTTTTCAAGTAGATAATTAGATTATTACGTCATATTAGCTAGTCCGAGGTTGCGTAAAAGGGTGGGTCGAGCTGGCATTGCAGTGCACCATGGGACTGTTTGAGGGGCGAATACAGGAAATTGCATGATGGCGCCATTGACCTCCACTATCTCGAATCCCTCGTACACTATCTTTTGTTCAGTTAATTAGCACCAACTGTCTTGCTATTTGTATGAGGGAATACAATTGCAAATTTAAATAAGAAAGAAAAATTGGCGAAGTATTATGGTAGTGGGAGTCAAATGAATCTATGGTGCAAACGTCCTATAGACGTCATCTCATGTCCTAAATAGTCCCACAATGCACTGCAATRTCAAGTCGACTCAGTCTATTTCTCAATCTCGAAATGGCTAAAAAGTAAGACTACAGGTCAACGTATACGTACCGGCTTTTTTGAAATAAGGATGTGCTTCTGCTGGTTTCTTCATTATTAAGTAAGCTAACGCGACGTTTTCCAGTGCGTTCAGAGTGTTTAGATGATCCAAGCCAAAGGAGTTCTAAAAACATTTAAAGACCATTAAAGTGTGACGTCATTCAATAAGAAAATTTATCATATGACCCGTATCTGCCCGTACCGGGCGCGCGCTCCTAGAAAAACTATCGGGAAAATGGCGTGGGCAGGGCCGTACGGCTTTGAGCGAGCAGGGCCGTACGAATCCGTACGGCCCTGCTCGAATCCGCGCGCTTTCTCATTTTTAGCTTTTATTTACTATTTCTTCCTTTTTTTWATTTTTTTTATTATTTTTTTCGTGAGGGTCATATGATAAAAGGCTTATTGACTGAGTTATAGGTCGGGCCGTACGGGAAAATATTTGGCTCTCGGTCATTTGTACGGACCTCGCTGCGCTCGGTCCGTACGGCATCACCTCGAGTAAAAATATTTTCCCGTAAGGCTCTCCCACTCAGTCAATAAGTACATAATCTTCCCGTTCTACGATGCCGAAAAGTAGTTGCGTATTGATTTTCTAGCAATTTTCCAGCTGGTTATCTGGTTTGTTACTAAAAGTACTGCTTGTTTTAAGTGGGGAGTGAATAATGTTCGGAGTACAAATGTTATTTTAGCGGTTTTATTGCGTTCTTTCTAATAGCACGCGTAGACGTCAATCAAGGCGTTTACATGACTTCCTAGGTACACCAATTTGGCTGCCTTCTCACGTGAGTGAAAACGCTCTATTAAAAAGCATTCTTACAACTTCTTCGTAAGCTAATTTTTTAAAATAGAAATTGTTTGCCTCTACTTTTGCTTAGTAATGACCCAAAATAAATGCAAGCGTTTCAAAACACCCAGAAACTGATAAAAACACAAGGCAACAGGAAAATGATCGATGAATAAGATGATCAAACCTCGTAAATTTGGGCGGCTCTTTTGGAGCATTCTGCTGCTTTCTCTGTTTGATCGTAAAGTAGAAATGCTGAATAACTCAACAACGTTTGTCCAACTTCATGGTGGTTTTCACCGTACGCATTCTCGCGGATTTCCAAAGCTCTGAGAAAAAGACAGGAATTAGGATTATGCATCATACTTATCATTCCCTACCCATATACCTACCCACTCCCCCTACCCCCTAAATGCACACATAAATACATCACTTTCGTATGCGTCATAATTTCTGTGTTCCTTGTTACAGACTCGTTTACTTAGTTAATCTTTTTACGAATATCAACGATAAAGTGAATAATGTACATCTTAAACGATGCAACAAGCACCTTACCATAGCAACGAATGAGAAACAAAGGAATTATGACTCGAGGCTGGGACCGGCTGGGAGTTGATAAACACAGGAAATCATGTTGCAAGCCCTTGGCTAAACAAGTTAATATGTCTCCAGAAACATGTTTAATGCACGTATGTTTCCCCGATGTTTCCAAGATTAGTCACATGCGAAACATCGCTGCGTGCAACAAATTTTCCTTCCAAGACACAAAACGTTTTTGATGTGCGACAGAAACAATTTATGCTTCCAAGACGCTTGGAAGTAAATGTTTCCTCGTTTAGCCACGAAAGTTAGCATTCTAAAAGTTCGTTACTTTATAGCAACACTCGCTCTATCTTGTCAAAACGAGATGGCGGACGAAAAGGTGACGGTAGTAAACAAGAAAGTGCGCATGCGCTAACCGATGTTGAGTGAACATGTTTCCCGATGTTTCCTGACAGTTTTGCCAACTTCGGAAAACATTTGAGGAAACCTTGTTTCCTTGTTAATTAGCCAGGGCCTAACAAAACACACCTTACGTATAGAGGTTCTGCATACTCATATTTATCCAATCTGCGGTACGCCATAGCAAGGTTCAGCATGGTGCCTCCAACATCCGCTGGTAGACTGCCAAAGAAGGCTTCCTCGTATATCTAATAATATCCAAAAAAAGAACGTATTTGCATTTCATCATTAGAAGTACGCGAGGGATTTAAATATAGACCTTTCCCGAATTCGCTTGGATGACCACGAAACAATGGTTTGAAGTCGAGACTGACTGTTTTTTTTTTTTACTCATCAAGTTCAACCTCGACTTGAAAACATTGTTTGGTGACCAGTCAAGCCTATTTTGGAAACAATGATTTTCCATTTCAGATCATATATCATTCCCTAGAGTATAATTTCTGTGTTTAACGAGAAGACACATGACCATGGACAGAAATAAAATAAAGAATCTCATTAAGAGAATGACAYATGACCTAAAATTTCTTTGGATTATAAACAGTGCACGCCAGCCATGCTTAATATATTGACATTCACAACAAAAACGAAAACTTATGCCAGAGTAAACTGGACCTATAGCGCCTGAATGCAAAGCTACCCGCACAAAGCTCAAATCGCACAAGGGAACATGGTTTTGTCGTGAGAGAAAAGCTCACTCGTTTCATATATTTGTCTTCCAATGTGGCGGCAAATGATCACGTGACTCGTACTCACTTCCAGCGACTCTTTTAGCTTTTCTATCGCGTCTTCCCATTGGCCCAACGCGTGGTAAACACTTCCAATGTTATTTAGCAATTCAGCAATTTCACGTTGTGGAGAGTGCGCTTCACGATGTTTATCCAAAGATCGTTGATAAAAGTCTAGAGCCTAGAGAAATAAATGGTTAGGATCGGAGTAGATATAGTAGCCAATTAGCTCCACTCATAGGTTAAAAGAATGGGCTGAAGAAAAAAAATTGTCTAAAGAAATGACATGTGTAATCTCATGTTTTTTTTCAAATATTTATCCAAGGAATAATGAATTTTTTTCGAGAGCGCGACATCAGTAAAACCATTGACTTGGGTACAATAGGGACTAGTCATACTGTATCCTGGGTTAAATTAGGTAAATCCATCCCAGTCTTTACAACGTCAGTGACAATAATTTTTGAGAAAAAAATATTATCCAAATGGCAACGAGTCTTAATTTAAGGAATATAAAACGCGAGCGCGTGTCTCTGTACTATGATATAAACACGATGGGTAGATAGAGGACGAGAAAGGCAAGCTTAGGAACATAAGGCGTAGGCGAGTGTTTCCCTTGCTTTTCGAGTGCTCTACAGCTCCCAGAGTGTTTATATCACAGTACAGAGACATAAGCATAATATTTCTTTTATGAAATATTTTTGAACGATTTTGTGCGAGTCTGTCTCTGTCCTCTGATATAAACACGGTGGCCAGCCAATCAGATCACGCGTTATACCTCAAATATCTTTTAAATATTAATATTATTATCAATAACGTCTTACCTCCTGATACTTAAACTGCTTGAAATTCAAAACCCCAAGACCATTAAGGGTTTTTGCTAGATTTAATGTCCCATCCTTCATGCTGCGCTCAAACCTAAATACAGAAATTAGTATCAAACCATAGCAAAACTCACACTTAATACAATATTTATAAGTCAAAACCAATAGATCTCTTCGTCCAAGATTGCGAGCTTGCATTTACAAATATTGCGTACAGCATTTGATCCGGTAATAGACCTCTGCCTTGGGCTTAAAACGTTTTCCTATTTCAGACCACGTGTCACTCTCTTGAGAATAAAATTTTTGTTTGAGTTTGTATGTGTCTTCTTATGCGGAACCATAAAACAAAGAAATGATACTCTAAGGAATGCACGTGATCTTTAATAATCAGGGGGAGGGGGGAGGAGGTCTGGTGCATTGCAGGACACCGCCTTGGATCCGCCCATCTAAATACCTAAAAAATACATACTTTTGTTTAAGTTCCAGTACTTCATGATGAAGTATGTCTGCTTTATCAAACTGCTCCGTGTCCACATAATGACAAGCTAAAGTATTCCCAATGTTACAGAATTTGTCAGCAAGGACTGGATCGCCTTTAATGTCCTCAATCTTATGAAGGGATTTCTATTTGACCAAAAAAAAAAGAAAGAAAGAAAAAAAGCCACTTACAAATTTCAAGTTTTACAGTGATGCGTGCCGAACCGCCGAACACCCAACAAACTTTCGTACAAGTTTTTGACAAGTTTTTGACAAGTTTTGATCGATCTAGCTCTTTACCGCTAACCAATTATGTTTTGGCGCTTCACTTCTAAATGTTTCGATATCGTTACATCGATGTACGGACTCCGCCTATTCAAACTTCAAGGTGAAGCGCTGATGTCTAGTTGGTTAGCGCTAGAGAGCACAATTAAAACTTTTCAAAAATTTGTCAAAAAGAAATCAAAAACTTTGTTAGGTGTTCACGGTTCGGCGAGCAGCACTGTAAGCTTTCTCGTAGGTGCCGTATTATGGTTAATTGAAACAAAACTGTGGCTCATTGATATTGAGCGGAGAGCACAATAAAAAGTAAATATATATACGTACAGTCATTTGTAAAGCACGTTCAAGAAATGGTTCAGCTGCTTTGACGTGGCCTGCATTGCTGAGGAATTGTGCTAAATCATAGACAAATGGAATCATCTGGAAAAAACAAGAGAATGACAAATTTAATGATGTATATCCAGCCTCTTGCTGAATGGCAAGTTTTCAATAAAAGTATGCAAGGCCCTATTTGAGACCTTTTAGATATGCTTAAGACATTTTCCTATTTATTATATAGACATGAGTGTTTTACTGGGAAATACGCCACCCGTATTTTTCGTACAAACTACATCCGGGACCTGAGTAACATTTTTTCCATAGGATATGGAGGACGTCTTTTCCAATGTTTTCAACAAGTTTTTGTTCGTAAATGTGTCTATCGCTGCGCTCACTCGTGAAATATCTTCGCGCCACTGTGTAATATTCTTTATAACCATAACACTCGAGAACTCGGACAAAACTTCAACCAAGGGAGAGGCGCAACAAACTCTACTCACATATGGTACCGAGTCCAGAAATTGCATGGACAAAAGACCCCAGAGGTGAGAGGCAAGTGCTTTACTGCTACCCCCCCCCCCTACACGACTGAATTAACATTACTTTAGCCTCTGCAATTCTGTATTCTGCATGTCTTCCGAAAACCCACCATATCTAAAGCATATTTAGGGCTTTCTCCTTTATCTTCTCCCTCGTTGTAGAACAACGCAAGCTGGTCATCGATTACTTTCTGTTGCTTGGTAACGATCTCGTCATCAGACAAACCAGTTGTATTCCAGTAGCCTATTAAATCATACTTGTTTAGGCCACTAAAAGCAAGACAAAGAAAGACTATCAGTGATATCAGTGTAGATTTAGCACGATATTGGTATGAAATGGTGTGGTGTGTGGTGAGCTATGGAATGGAATGGTATTGGTATGATATGATATGGTGTGGTGTGGTGTGGTGT